AAAAGAAAGTTCAGTTAGTGAACGCGAGTTTTATCGAATGTCGACGAAGCTTGGAGGAGTCTCTACGATCGACTCGTGAGAGTTCAAAGGAGTAAATCACAAAGTGTTTTATCCTAACGATGGGAAACCATTGGAAACGTACGCGATGAAATTCGTTTACAATTTCGAGATTAGAAAATTGAAATTCGCTCCTGAGAACTTTAATGCGACAAAGGCTTGCCTCGATTGATCCTGCGATAGCTTGGTAAAAATACATTTGTATATACGTGCGTCACGAGATAATTTTCTTCCGCTATATTCTCGGGAAGAAACAGAAAACTTTACTACATCGCGGATCGAGCGAAGCACCAGTCGATCGACAGTGGCGCGAAATTTGAATAACCTCCCGTGTGATACACCTTCGCGTTCCCATCGTTTCTGCAGATACGTTAAGAATAATACCGCGTTATCCTACGATTTAAGTTACCTCTTCTGCTTTACATCCGCTCTTTCGCGGATTAATTTCAAACAAACCACAGCGTTGCTTCATCTTCTCGCAGTGTTTCGAAAAACCATCCATTCCGCGCGAACGTTGCAACAACGATCTCCCGAAGTGAACTCGGGACTTCTGCTGAACAATGAAATTGAACTTTAACATTGACAACGTTGTTCGTTCGTTCGCTCTTGCCTCAATCGCGATCCAAGACACAGTTAACCATGGGAAAACTCTCGTCGTGATATTGTTACTATATCGTTCTGTACAAGTCCCTCTCCCTTAAGATCTAGCAAAATATTCTTTGAAATATTTACACCGCAGCTCTGCGTACTGTTAACGATTTAAAAAGTGCAAAAGTTCGTATTATATTGTGTAGTGTCGCCGGTGTGTGTCTAAAATCTCAATCGGCATAAAGCAAGTTACATAGAACACGCGTCGAAAAATACCCGAGTAATTGAAACGCGTCGCGATCGCGCTAGACAGATAGACAAGTGAGAAAAAAAGAGATGGAGAAAAAAAGAAAAGAAAAAGATCCTCTCTCGTATAATTTAAATACACTTAACACGACTTGACGCGACTAAACGTCAAGTCGTTTGAATCTCTCAGTTTTCGATTTTTACACACTTCGACAGGCGATAAATCGAGGAATCTTCGTTCGAAGGAAAGAGGAGGAAGCATCTTGTTCATGGATCGAATCGAAGGAGATCGCTGCAATAAGGAAACGCCTCCGCTTTTGAGTAATTTTAGTCAATCAACGTAAAATTGATCGACTGATCAGAAAACAAGCCCAACAAGGTTTTAACACGTTGGACGCCCAGTGAGAATCGAGTGAATGTCACACTTGTCAAACCACCCGGTCCGTTCGATTTGGTTCGTCAGTTTCGTTCTGCTTTCCAAAGTCATTGACATCGTATAAATATGTCTGTAATTTTTTTTTTTATCCTCGAAATGTTTGTCAGACAGTGTAAGTTACTTGTAAAATGCTACACAACAGAGCGAAGAAAATACCTAGGGGGCGTTCAACTGTGTTAAACTGTGCTATTGAATTCACGATCGAGCAATATTGTTATTACTATATATATATATTATTATTATTATATATAATAAATAAAAATTTATATATATAATATTATATGTATTAATATTATTATTATTATAGGTAGATAATAATATATATAATAAATAAAAATTTATATATATACAATATTATATATTAATATTATTATTATTACACATATAATATATGTAATAAATAAAAATTTATATATAATATACATATAATATATATAATAAATAAAAATTTATATATATATACAATATTATATGTATTCATATTATTATTATTATTACACATATAATAATATATATATATATAATAAATAAAAATTTATATATATAATATTGTATATATTATTATTATTATTATTATTATTATTATTATTATCATTATTATTATATATTATTCGTCTCAACTTAGAGTTAACTCTCATTTCACGCCAAGTGGAAGATCACAATTTCTTTCAATGAAACAACGTGCACAAAAGTGGAGGTACTCTCCTTCTCGCCGCGAGTCCTTCAGTGCCTAACGACAAAACAACGAATGAAAACTTCACACTTGGTTGCTGCAGTCACGATGGACGATAACAAAGATAAATCCTAGGGGTCGAAAGTTTCCAGAGGAACAAAACTCGACACTGGACGAAGGGGAGACCAAAGCGTGGCTGTACCCCGACCAAGGATAACAGAAGCTAAACGCGGGGTAATGAAAACGAGAAAGAAAGAACGAATTGCAACAATGCTGAACGAATCAATTTAATCGAAATGCCCACGAAGTTCGTGTGAGTTCAAATTGAACTCACAGCAAACGCTTCAACGGGAGAGAATTTCACTTTACGTTGAAAACTTCGTGCTTGACGACCTAAACGACTGACGTCAGGAACATCTTCCTACGAAACGGGACGAAACTTAAAAAGCTGCTTTCACGCACTCAGCACTAGTGGCACTAGCTTCCTCGGCTTTCTCCGCGCTCCTCTAAATCATCGAGACATTCATCGAACGTAGGACCATCGCGTTCTTCGTTCCTCGTCGGATAACAGGGACATTAAAATACAACGGGAGGGTTGGAATCGGATCGTTCGTTCGACGAACGTCGCTGCGAGAGTATCTCTCATTGTCAGATAGAATTACGAAGGCATCGCGATATACTACTACATATAAAAAAATAATAATCAGAACAACTTGTGTCTTACGCTCGAAGGCATTTCTAGAATCGATTACACCGTTGTTGTACTCTCTACTGACGGTACCCACGATTACGATTATGCACTTGACGCGCGAAAGTTTCTCTAATCTCGATCTCTCGCTTAAAAATATGTGTGTACTCGGTTTCTAATTACAGGGAGGGGGGCATAAGAGACACACGAGGGGCGGACACGCGCGAATACGATTTCTCTCGATCTGTCCTGAATATTCCTTAAGTTCCTTTTTTTGTTTCTTAACGTTTCTTAACGATTGCAACGTCGCTCGTATCCGCCGGACGATCGGTAGAAACATCGTCCGACATTCACAGTTAATAATCGACGACGTGGCTATGAGGGCGTCGAGTGATTCTCAATAGTTAGGCAACCACAGTGATGCGACTGTGGGGCGTCGCGTGTAATTCTCGACGATTGTTCGCCACCACAGTCACGTCGTGCAACTTCCGCAATTAATAACCAACGACGCAGCTGCGACATCACGATCGTGGACCGTTCGACGGAATTCGAGAACTTGCCCTCCCACCGGTGAAAGTTACACCGAAAACCTAACCGGTCGTGTTACGCGTGTTAACTTCAGCTTCGAGTAAATTCGAGTCGAGGAATCCCCGGATGAACTCCAGCGGGAGCACAATTTCGCACGCGTCGCCGAATATCGATCTCGCTCGTCGATTGTCAATTATTATCGTGTGCTGCTGGCAACGAAAATCGTCGAATCGTTGAGAAATCTCTTGGATCTCGTCGTATTTAACGATAATAAACGTACGTAAGATCGATGGAATCGATGACACACGACACAAGAAACTATTTTATCCTCTATTATATATATATATATGTGTGTGTGTGTGTGTGTGTATGTACCTCGAAACGTTTGTTTAACCCTAATCGCGAAATCGAGAGAGGGAGAAGGGAAGAATATTTTTGATATTAATAAATACTCGTGAACGTGTTCGCGGGTGTCCAAAAATGGATATAATTTACCTCGTAGACGTCTACAGGTGTGTATATATATATATATATGATATATATCATATAGTGGCTCCATTATGCTCGACAAACAATCTCACGTGTCCGTTCGGACGAACAATGCTCGGAGAAGTATCGTGTGTGTATACGTTATACGATGTAATATCGTAAAGTAAAGTTAGAATAGTCTAGTAATATAGTATAATAATAAACGACGATAGACCGTCATTTTTTAAGAGCTAATTGGTGTTCGTACGTTGATCCCCTTTTTCATTTTGGTACCGATTTATGATAATTCTTCACCTCGATCGCTTGTCCCGCTCCGTCTGTCGTTACACCAATTTTCATACGATCTCTGCTTGCTTTCCCTTTTCTCAAACGATTTTCACATCGGTGAACACTGGCTGCTTGGTACGTTTACCCGAGGACTTTGTTATCTTACAATTAGATCACCTTTCGAGATCGGCGCGACACGATGGAATCTCATTTCGACGATAGATTCGAATCGCGCGCACGCGAATTCATTGGAGAAGATCTCCACGGAGGAAGTATTTCGACGTGTCTGAGGGAAACTGATTCATCGTAATATTATAAATACTTCGGTTTCTTCGAACAGATATCGATCGAACGGAATGGGGAATGATCATTGGTCAATTATAAAAATGTACGTAATTTGAACTTGTAAAAATGAAATATCGAAAGCTGATTAGATTTCAGAGAATAATATATATTGTTAATTATAATATATATATATTATAATAATATACATATATAATTTCACAGAATTATATATGTATATATATATATATATATAATTATAAAATAATATATATACATACATACATATATATGAGAAAACTAAAATAATATTTATTGTAATGAAAAAAATATTAAAAAATTGTCCTGTAATCCATGGTTGTAAAAGTGTTTCCTTTATACTGAAAAATACTAGTCCCACTATGAAATTCTACGCGGAAACAAAATCGAAGATTCCATCGATTCATCGATTGGCACAATTTCGTTTAAATCGGTGCCTCCCCACTCCCGCCACCACGAAACATCCGACTGTATCTCGATATTATATACAACAAGGTAGGAAACACTTCGATTAAATTTCCGACGTTCACGCAACCACGTTAAATCGATGATGTCACGCCGATCCCGTATTACGAAGCCTTCAGAAATAAGTTACACGTGTCCAACGATTTAAATATTACTCACCGATCACTCTATTGAATCCATTTGTCTTTCATTCGCAAGAAGAGTAAATTGTTCCATTGTTTCATTTTTAATAATTGTGTAACCATAGTACATACGCGTACGTGTGCATACGTTCCGCGTGTGTGTATGTGTGTCCAGCAGTGCGAAGAAGTTCGACGAATGTTCACGAACAAGAGGAAAAAAGAGCCCAGCATCGCGAAGAAACGTCTGTTATATATCTTAAGGGCGATAAATATTTTATATCGGTATATCTTTTAATGTGTGTAGAAAATATATGTATATGTATAATATATTATACTAACGCGAGATTCGTTTCTTTTCTCTCTCTCTCTCTCTCTCTCTCTCTTCTTTTTTCTTCTCCTTATAGAAAAAGATATGTGTATCCTAGAACAAGCGAAGAGAACAATTCAACAAGAATTGGTTTTCGAAAATGTGGACGCTCGGACATCAGCAGAGTCGGATAGAAAATTTCATTTCGCCTTGGCGAAAAATTCATTCGAGATAATCGTAACGACGAGTGATCTCGGCGATCGCGTTCTGCTCCCTCGAATCACGTCCAGTTCGAACGATCGAATCAGAAAAACAACAGAAGAGAGAAACGTACAAAGGAAACTTCGTAAAACGTGAATCGACGGTTCTAAAGCTACGCTCACGTTAGACGTGTTCCCGTCGAAACGACTAATTGGGCCAAGTTACACAGGAAGCTGCCCGAAATTGAATAAATTTAGCTTGAAGATTATTATTTTGAAAAAAGGCGTCTTACCTCTATCGAGTATTTTTTAATGATTTGTCGAACAATAAGTAGTATAGTGAGTGTAGAACAGTCTAAAAAAAGTTGTAGAAATGAAACTATGGTTTGATGGAACAACAAGAACTGTAAGAATAATAATTTTTAAGTAATAAAAATTGTACGATTATTGAACTCATATAGCGTTTAATCAACTTTTTTTTTTTTTTTTTGTCATTTCGAGGCACGGCAGGTTTCTGTGCAACCTGGCCCGATCGATCCACTTTCAATTATTCAAAATCGCCTGTGTAAACGCAGTGCCGTCCAAGTCGAAACGACCTGCTCGTTTCGACCAACAGTGCCCATGTAAAGCTGCGTTTACATTAAACAATTTTTCGGGGAACCGAGTCGACCTCAAGCTGTTCACAATCACTATAAATACCAAATTTTAGCATCAAACAACTTTCAATCGCTCGATCAAGAACGAACCTGATCGTTTCAATTGTAATTGTAATGCAAACGCAGCTGGAATATTATAGGCTCGTTCGTCAAACGACAAATCAGCGAAGTGATCAAAATCGCACTAAGGAATCGACAATCGATTTGCCTTTGCCTAATCTCATCAACAATATTCTCTATCGAACGATTACTTCTTCTCTACGATACACGTACTGGCCATGGTCGAACAGCCAAACTCTCGGATAATGATGTGAACTTTTTAATCGAACGAAACAACTTGTCCTGCAAGTTGTCCAACGCAAACGCAGCTTATACGGCTCGCCGATGATCAAACGAACTAACTTCGAACGACTCTAACTTCAATTCGGGAACGGAAAGAATTGCGTCCGAACTCTGCGTGAACGCTCAAATCGTTAAAAAGTTTTCCGCGCGCTCCGCTTTAATCGAACGTAGGCGAATTAGAGACGCGCCGAGTCGCGCGATAAATGTAAATATCACGTCTACGTGATAACGACAGGCGCTAGAATCGATAAGGGGACAGCGTTTATTTCGTACTCAGCCAACTCGTAACTACCTAGTTAAAATGGAACGTAGAAAAATATAAAATAAAAAATCATACAAACGAATGCGAATGATAAAGTGAAGATTAGTCTTTACGATATATATATATATATATCAGCTACTAGATTCAATTTCCTCGTTCATCATGACTCTCTTTTGATCCTAGTCTCTCACTAATTCGGTTTCATTCCCTCCCCCCGGGGGTCTGGCCCCGTAAAACTCGCCGATACGTTATTAACAGTTTGCAGAATGAGCAAAAAGATCTCCCGATCTTCTCGTTTCGTCCCATCGCGCGACCTGTTCTTCGAGAAGAATTCGCGAACGATCGGCGCGCGAATGGTTTTCCCCGTGAGACGAGGGGAGGCAAGCTTCCTCTGCTCGATCGTACGAGAGAGTACGATATAATAAAAATTAAAAATATGTTACGCGTGTATTATTATTATTGTAGAGGTTTCTTAATCGATCGAAAAAATTTTCTCTAATCTTTATAACGCGCGATTCATCAGCGCGAATCAGTGTGATCAGTTTACACACGCCGGTGAAAAGGGATCTCGAGGTTGGTGAGTTCAACCTTCGGTGAGTTACGCGACTCGACAGAAGCGTTATTCTGCCAGTCTGATAAAAAGAACTATCGATTTATCACATACGACTTACGCAACACGAAGAGAAAGAGGGTTAAAACGAACGTGCTCGTCTCTCGTCTTGATGACGTCGTGTGGTGACGACGAGTTGGCCGTCCGTTCGCCCCAGGATGTTCTTTCTCTGGATGTCCCATTGAAGAGCGAGATCTTTTACTAGGGATCAGTTCAGGCTCTACCAATCACGGCCGGAGGTCAGAGGGCGTTCTCCATTTCTTCTGTTGTCAGCTGGAACTGCTCTTGACCTATATATCAGCGAACAAAGCCGATTTAACGATCCACCGGAAGCGTCACGTTGGCGAAAAGGATTTCAGTTTGATAGGACGTTTGAATGAATAAAGAGTCTCTCTCTCTCTCTCTCTCTTTCTCTCAAAGGAGAGAACTCTTTCTTTCCAATAGAGAACAGTGACAGAATGGTTCTTCATTGCATATTCTTATCGGCGGTCTTTCATACTGCCAGACGGTTTGTGCAGAGAGTAAATTATGACAGATGAAGCGGGCAAATAATTTGTTTGAAGTTAAAGCGAATAGACTTTCTGGGTAGATGTGTATCTACAACGTGACTAGTTATAGAGAAGAAAGAAATAAGAAAGATATTTGTGTTGGATCATTCTATCAGAGTTATGTTTAATCCTTAACGCGTTTTATATGTTATATTTAATCCATAGTTACGATAGATTGAAATATAAACTGTAATGTTTATTTTTTTAATTTAAATCGTTTAATTTAATCTAAAGCGTTCAAAAATTTTTACACAACGTTCAGTAATCATCGTGGTTAACTGGTACCATTGGACATTGTAATTTAGACTTTCATAGTACTTTTGAACATTTGATTTTGATCTTAGTTTTTATCAGGGAAAAACGTAAAGTGAAATTAGTACAGTCGCCTACACTCCAACGATAGTATTTGAAAGTTATATAATAATGGAGGGATTTGGGAGTTTTATAAAATTGAAAATTTAATATGAGAGCAAATATAGGAGAAATGAAGAAATTAAATATAGGAAAATTAAGTAACAGGTAATTTCTTATTATTCATCTAGTATACGATACTTATAGAATGACCCAGTAGATTCTATGAAAATCTGTAACGTTGTCCTAAGAAAGGATACATAACGCTGGTTTATTAACAGAAACCAATAAAACATGGTGTAATGCGATCCAAAATTAATTTAAAACTCAGAGTGTCGGATTCATATTTCTCTCCTTTGCTTATTGAAAATCCTTTCTTCCTGCGTTCTACACGCTACATGGATTAATAAACTACATGGATTAATAATATTCTCCTTCCTTTAATCGAAATAATACCGAAAAAAAAAGAGGGAGAGAATTTAATTATCAAGAGGTAGAGTTCATATTGATATAACCTTTGGAAAGAGGAATTAAAAATAACATTCTGACTTCATAAAATAATATAATACGAAAGAGAGAACGTTTCCTTCCCCGTTATCTATAATAATAAAGCTATCAACGTACATTTTTCCATTTCTCCCGACTGACCCTAATTTCTTTCTTTTTTTTCTTTCTTCTTTCATCATTCTACACTTCGCTACGTCGCGAACATATTCGCACAGAATATCTCCTTTTGCAACGAGAGAAAGACGAAAACACTCACTGCATAAATACGCTGCGAGGTCACGGTCCTCCGCTTGCAGAGCTAGATCGCGAGGTGTGTTGCCGTGTCGATCCTTGATGATTAAAGTAGCACCGCCAGCCACTAACATGCAGCAAATTGAACGACGCTTATATTGAGCCGCTTTGTGCAAAGCGGTCTGACCTCTGCAATTAGAAAGTACAGACTTCTTCTTTTTCCCTTCCTTTCCTTTTTGTTTGCTCTCTATTTAACAGCGCCAGGAATAAACCACTTCTTTGATCGCCATCATGGCTCGTAGTAAACAGAGTTTGAAATATGGACAAAAAAAAAAAAATTGTTCAATTTACGCTGGCTCATGATGCTGCCATTTCTGCTAAAGATCAAGCGCAAATAGGTCATGAAGGCTTTACAAAAATCCTGAGAACCTTCTTTCAGCCATTTCGCGACAATGGGATTCTTTTGCTTTCGTCTGCTTTTGCCAAAAATTTTCCTAGACAATCAATTAATTGTAATACCAGCCATTGCGTTCCAGGTCGCGTTTGGACAAACGCTCGTTCGTCTTTCTTCCATTGTGATCAAATTTCAACTCGTTCGATGCTTGATAAATTATTCGCTGGTACAAATGAATGCCGAGCACGAGGAACGCAATAACTAGACTGCGAGTTTCTACAGATTTATTGAAAATTTCAAAATAAGAAATTGCACGGAATTCTACTGTAACATTTATATATGTATATTATACAATATTTAGTACGTAAAACAATTTTTTGAGATTTAATTATATTCTCAGAAATTTGCTTTCATTTGTGAATTACAATCATCTATACCGAGTCTTATCTTTCTCTCGTTCGGTGAACATCCTTTGTTCGTTCTTTTTTTAATTGTTTCTGAATTTGTTTTAAGTCTTTTTTTTTTAACTTACTTGTCATTGTCGATCATATTGAGGATAGTCGATGGTGCGCAAGCGATGAGATATCTGACAATATCTTTGTGACCATATCTCGATGCTAGATGAAGAGCAGTTTGTCCAGAGGAATCGATGGACAAAAGGGAGTAGCCCTTCTCGTGAAGTTCTTTCAAAGCCTGTAGATCGCCGATTTTCGCTGCTTTCAAAATACCATCACTGGCTTTCTCTAGTAATCCGGTATTAAACGTATGCACCTCAGAACTCAGGCCGAAAAGTCTATCTCGTGGGCTGTAACAGAATTCGTTTCCTTCTCTTTATACCTTTCGTTCGATCAGTCAATGAACTTAAGCCTTTCTTTATTTTCCAATCATTATTTCATATTTTTCTGCTGTTCATTACTTTATAATTTCATACTGATCTTCTTGGATCTGATCTCAGCTTATTACTTTTTCTACGAGAGTGTGAATTAACACAAATTCGAGTAAATCGAGTAAAATCGGGTTTAAGTAAAACTGAACACGGTTCTCCAAGGTTACAGTTTCAGAATATTTAGGACACTCAGAATTTTGGAATTTCAAGATTTTAGGATTTTAGAATCTTGAAGTTTCAGGACATTGGACTTTCCTTGGAGTCTTGGAATTTTAGAATATCAAAGTATCAGAATTTAAAAGTGTTAGGTTTTGAGAATTTTAGATTTCTAGGATTTTGAAATTTTAGAATAGAATGTCAGAATTTGAAAATTTTAGAATTTTAGAACCTTGGGATTTCAGAATATTGGAGTTTCGGATTTTTCGGGTATTAGAATGCCAGAATTTTAGAATACTTGTAATATTCAACTTTCATTGCATTGTTTCTTTCTGCATTTCATAAAAAAAAAGTCATCAGAACAACGATGAAATTAATTACGAATTTAATTCTTTATAAAAATTCCTTTCTAAGGAGAGAAAGATGCGAAAGGAGTTGGTAATTAAAGGAGCCGTTAACCAAAAAGGAAAGAAATGAAAAGATAGAGAGAAAGAAGAAATTAAACATTCATGAAAAGCACTTCCATCTCATTGAACTCTTAGAAAGAGACGAGATTCTGATGTTCGTTACTGTATATGCTGTGCATTAACTGGCATTCCTTTGCGATACTAACGAAAACCAAGTGAAAGGAACATCCTAAACTCTGAAACGAAATTAGAGCGTTTCTAGAAAGACTGGTTTGAGAGTGAATGAGCGCGGATTTACTTTCAAAGAGCGGCACGAGTGGTCGTATTATTATTATTCAAGATAGAGATTTCAACATAGAGAAACAGCATTTCAAAGTTACGGATGTTTTATATCTGTTTTTTATACTAAAGCGAAGCCACTAAAAACACATTTTATCTTTTTACAAACTTTCTTCTTCTGAAAGTCATTTGTTAAGCTTTTATATCTAAAATTTCATATTACTTGTCAGAAAAGAATTTGAGAACTAATAATTCGTTTGATATTTTCGCGACAGTGCCGAAGTATATATATAAATGAAAAATAAAATTTGAACATACGAACGTATGACTTTCATCTTTCACGATATCACAGAAATAATTTCGTAGACTGATCTTGCGTAACCCTGCTTCGATGATTTCGCAACTAAACTACCATTTAAACGTCAAGTTAGAAACGAACGACTTTAAAAACTGAACGACGCGAGACAACGAAATTTAACTTCATTCTTGAATCCCGAGTGCTTAACTGCAAGTTTAAATAATCCAATCTCCCTGTTACAACTTCCATAAAATTCAAATTACAATTCATCATGTGCTGGCGACATTAAACTAACTCAACTAGCGAGCCGAGCTGCTTCAGACCCGTAATAAAAATATCTCGTTATACCTTTAAAATTAGTTCTCAAGTAGGAAACGTCGTTTAATATTGATTGTAGCACAGTATGACAAAGGTATGAATATTTTGTAATTACACTGCGCCAGATTATATTGTTTTACATCAGCGCGTTGCGTTGGCTGGGCAAAGATTCCAAAAAAAAAAAAAAAAGAAAAAAAGAGAAATGAAAAGGAAAAGAAAAGAGAACGACCTAGAACTTACCTAATGAAAGTGGGTGTTGTTTGATGCTGCGACTGTGTGACAATCGTCGCAGAGATCGATTTTGAGGAACTGCTCTGCTTGGTCGCGTCTTCAGGCAACCTCTCCTCCTTTTTCACAGTCGGAGGTTCGTCCTTTGGCGTTTCTCGGCTCATCGATTCAGAAGGTTTCGCAGAATTTTGAGCCTCGTCCTGTGTTTTCGGTGGTGTTTCAGGCGCCGCGTTCTGCGATTCCGTAACTGGCTGCGCCATTGGCACTTCGTCAGGCTTCTCTTTTGTCATGGCTGCGTTTGACTTTGGTCGTTCTTCGCTATATTACACGTTCTTTCTATTAATCTAATGATACGATTTCATTACCATTACAGATATCATGGACACACGAACGGATGTGTATAATAGTGGCAACGAAAGGTTTTTTTTCGACAAAGGCACGACTTTCTTTTTTTTATTTTTCGAAGCTACGAGTCATAATTGCGTAGCTCTTGATTCACTGTTATTGCATGCGCGACTATTTAATTATCTCTCTGTGGACAACATAGATAAAAGACAAATGAGTAATACCACTACACAATATACGAATGAATGTCGTTCTCTGTTTAATGTAAATCGATTGCCTCGAGCCATTTCACCGATACTCCGATACTCGTTCGGTTCTTTCACTTCGATATTTAATATTTCGATTATTAATATTCAAAACTCAATTGTCAATTCATTTCAATCACAGAAACCGATTATGCAAATCTAATTCTAGAACTATCTGAATTCATTTAAGCCTTTTTAAGAATTTTTCAGATAATTTATTTAAAACGACAATTCCAGATTGTTTGACGAGAATTCTCTACGTTGAGCAAAGAACAACATTAAAATTCAATCAACAACTTTTAATATTATTTATACAACAAACAAAAGATATAGTACAATATTGATTACAGCAGAAATATAACATACTATACTGTGACAGAGCCCGTCGTAACAAAAACTCTACTGAAGATGATCGAAAGAAAGAATTTCCAATCGAATATATGAAAAGAAATACCTTGGCGAGGGTTGAGCGGTTTCCGGTTCTTGCCTCGCAGACATCTTTGTCCCATCGGATTCGCTCGTTTGATTGGTCGCATTCTCTTCGAGAACATACACCGCTTCGACAGCCACGTCGGTTACGTAATGGAGTTGCTCCTGAGCTCTGTCAATCCTGAAGAATCGCTCGGCGGTACACGCTGAAAATTGATCTGACTTGACACGGCAGCAGTTTAAATTACAAGTCAACGTGTTAACGAATATTAACATCAACCGTAAGATCTGTAAAATGTCTCTAGATTTGCTCACTTGTTACTGTAACTTCCAGATTCTAGAAAGGATTCTAGACAAATGTACAGTTTACCTCTTATCATTGTTATTTATCCAATTCTTTATTTATTCGTTATATTATTGCAATAAATTTATACAACGATTGTTTATTATTGTTGTTATTTGTTACTTGTACGGAGAAGATAATGAAAAATTGCAGTAAATATTTCGAAGATTTTTCTAAAAACATTGAAGTCACGTTGAACTAGCCATGCGAATTTTTATGTATCCTTAGTGCACAAATCTCTAAAATTATCGCAAGTCAAATGCTTGTCAAGAAATCTAAAATTAAAATTAATGCAAACAAAGGGTAAAAAGTCGCTGGAAAATGAACAACCTGTAAGAGTACGGTGTCTACTTACAGTCGAGGAAGCAACAAGTGTCCATGTTGTGATCTTTCGCCAGGATCTTCCTCAAGGATTCTAGGTCGGTGGTGGCGTCAAGATCGAGTGGATCCGCAATCCATGTGATCGCGGCCTTCTTCAACATATCTTTGTCGTGATGATACCTCTCGTAATCCATCATCTTGATCTTCATCACCGGCAGTTTTAATCTGTCTAGTTTGACGTCCTGTTGCGGTTTGCTCGCGTTTCTTCGTTTCGCCAGCATCGTCGCTTTGTTTAGTAGTTTCAGATTTATAATGGATGGCAACAGCCGACAAGCCTCGCCATCGACCTAAGAGACACGGATGATAGTTCTTCTCGTATACAATTGTACGTACATAAGTGAATAGCTTCCGTGAAATCGAATGAATAGAGATGAAACAATTATTTCTAGTCTGAGGAATTACTTCAATAATCTTCTGATGCTTTCAGAAAATCGAGCGAATAAGATCTGATTGGAGTCACAGGTTTGTTGCGAAAAATAATCGAAAATTTTTATTGGAATTCTAATTAGTATTTTTATGCGATTTATAGATTTTCCTTTGATTATCTGTTTTAATCTTTTTACGAAACTTTTGGCACCTACTTCCTCAAAACTCGTTAAAGTGTATCGTGTTATTTTCCATCTACCTAATTAAATTATGTTGTACATCGAATTATTCATAATCTCTTCTATAATTGAGATATTTACTACTGTACGAATTTTAGTAATTAGTAATTGGCGACGTGACAGTAATTTTCATATTATGACCTATGGCTGTGATAACGGCAAGTGACATAACTACAGCAGTCACTCGTTACAACGTCAACAAATATAAAATAAATATAAAACCCAAGTACAGGGTGGCCACTGAAAAACTAAAGCGATGAAAAAGTCACAACTTGTTCATTTTCAATCTTTTTTATTTTTTTTTTTCCTGTAGGTTTAATAATAACTGAAAAAAATCCATTAATTATATCTCCAAATAAAATAAAAAATTTTAAAAACGTGTTTGTAAAAGTTATTTTTGTTTTATCATCATTCAGTGTTTCAGTGACCACTCTGTATTAACAATTACTGGATAAATTGGTTTGGCAAATACAAAGCAAACATGGGTTTAAGAATGAAATTGAATTTTTTTTTTTTAGTTTTCTATTTTTTTTCTTTATTTTTATTTTTTAGTTCCGTTCTTTGTATTTTTGTTGTCTCTACTTTGTACAGTGATGCGTTCGAATGAAATAACTTTCTAATAAGTGTCTTTTTCTTATTAGAGTTTCTTCCTATTTTTTAGTTTTCTATTTTTTTCATTCTTTTTTTAGTTTCGTTCTTTGTATTTTTGTACAGTGATAAGTTTGAATGAAACAACTTCCCGACTCAAATATTTATAATTCATAATATCAATTGGAAATTTTATAATTTAAATAGTTTAACAATTTTTCGAGATGATATAATAATTCAAAGTTTGCAATACGTCGTACTGCAAGTGCGACAGAGATGGGCATTCGTTCGTTTAGTTTGAGAAACTGCTTAAAATGCAGTTAAAAAAATATAAAATATAAAAATATAAAAATATAAAATATAAAAATATAAAATATAAAATATAAAATATAAAATATAAAATATAAAATATAAAATATAAAATATAAAAATATAAAATATAAAATATAAAATATAAAATATAAAATATAAAATTATAAAATATAAAATATAAAATATAAAATATAAAAATATAAAACTCGCACGAAGGAAATTTACCTGCATTGGAATGGTCCTCGTGGTAACCAACTTAGCCGTGCTGCACTGAGCGATGCAGGTGCCGTGTCCACCTGCTTGAAGAAGCGGAAGTTGATACGTCGTTAAACCAACGACCTCGATCAGCCCATCTTCGGTCGATGGCTCCTTGGTTCCACTGGCAGCACCCCAAGGATGCGTTCCACCGCCGTACGAGGCGATGTTCAAGAAAACAATGGCGTGAACGCGGTGTTCCTTCAACTTGGGCGTCATGTCCTGGCCGTCGCAATCCAACGTGACGAATTCCGAGAGATCCTTCCACTTTCGTCGCACGAGATCCTTACCACCCATCTGGCCGTAAAACATCTTGTTCCGTAACCGCGAATTGAACCTCTCTGGATGCGCCTCTGCAATTCAATCGAGTGGCAATTTTTATTCGTACCTCTCGTCGCCATGTATCTTCAAAACATTGTAACATTCATGAGCTACGAGCGGGATATTTACGACCCGTATTGTTCGGAATATGTAAAGCGTCCTCTTCGGATAGCTTTATCATTCCCAACGGGGAAAATTCCATATTTTGAGACACGGTTGGGATAAATTCAATTCGGGAATTCAGACGTTCAAAACGTTTCACGTCGGTGGGAGAATTGTTATTTGGTGGCCGCGTGAAGGACTGAATTTATACTCGAGAACAAAACTCGTTCGACTCTTGTCAAATTCATAAAACGATTTCAACGATTTCGACTAACAATTACATCGCAAAATACAAAATTCACTTTAACAGATTGTAAATTGAGAAAATACTAAAGAATTAAGTCGTGTAAGTCAATTTTTTTTCTTCGTGTATCCACTTGCGTTTAACCACTTGCGCTGGAATGACGTGCCATGCACGTCGAGAATTTGTTGCCCCAAAATTGCAATATTTTCTCAGTTTATATGGTATATTTAGGTATAACCCAGGCAAAGCGAAGAATAAATTTATTACTTGTCAATAATTGCTATCCAGTGATGTACCGACGAGTTCAAAAAGAAAGCGACCAATTATACACGGTTTGGTCACTCGTTATGGTCCGCAATCAGCTGCCAGCGCAAGTGGTTAACTGCCACGCACGTCGAGAATTTTTTGCCTCAAAATTGCAACATTTCCCTCAGTTTTTAAGTATATTTAAGTACAATCCAGGCAAAGCGAAGAATAAATTTATTACTTGTCAATAATTGCTATCCAGTGATGTACCAACGAGTTCAAAAAAAAAGCGACGAATTATACACGGTTTGGTCACTCGTTATGGTCCGCAATCAGCTGCCGACGCAACGTGGTTAAGACGATATAATATCACTCTCACGCTGTTCGAAAAAATTAAAATTCCCCCTACCACGTAATTCCACCCACGCGATAACCCAAATAACAGGATAAAACCTTCCAAAGAATTTTGTCGCGTTTTCTCTTTCGCGAAGCTCTTCGTCGAATCCCTCGACCGTCGAACCAACCTCACCCTCGAGTTCACCACCCTCTCCCTTCCGCGCCATTCACCGCAAATTTCCATCCATATAGAGAGAACACGCGTCCGCTCGGCGATCCCAAAAGCATTTCGCGTTTCGCCAAAGACATTTGCATGAGATGTGGCAACAGGTTTGCCAACTACTTCACGTTAAGGTTGTTCGACGGCTCAACGATAACGATAACCCGTGCCCGTTACCAAATAACAAACTGTTGCACGCCCATTTGGGAAAAGCTCGAGTTTCGAGAGGGTTGATATTGTGTACGATACCTTGGAGACTCACCTCGAGCTTCGTGGAACTCAAGGGCGATATGAGCATCCACACCGAGGGAGAAATAATTATTAACGACGTTCAGAGGTAGATTCTCTTTGCCTTTGCCATTGTCGTCGTCGCCCTGCGCGTCGGGGTTCCTCTCCACCACCAGCTGCCATCTGTCCAACAGAGTTGTGTCGCTGTCGCCGATATTCGTCAGGATCTTTCCAATCGGCTCGTCCGTGTAACCGCCACCCCATCCCAGAGCCCTGGCCAGATCGTTTCCAGTTCCCAGGGGGAGGACGCCCACCGCCGGTGGCGGAGACGCGCCGATCTGATCCAAAATTGATAACACCCAACCGACCGTACCGTCGCCGCCGCATGCCAGAACTCGTAGATTAGGAACTTTTTTGAACAGCTCTAGCCTGCAAGCGAGAGGGAAAACCATTCTTTTCTTCAGCTCTGTTTCATTCGTTTTCACAGACGAAATATTCTTTGGTAATTTAAGACCTGGAAGTGACGAAGTATCTTTTTTCTATGATTTCTACTTTTTTTTTTAGTTTTCTATTTTTTTTCTTTATTTTTATTTTTTAGTTTCGTTCTTTGTATTTTTGTTGTCTGGACTTTGTACAGTGATACGTTCGAATGAAAATAACTTTCTAATAAGTGTCTTTTTACTATCTCTTCCTATTTTTTAGTTTTCTATTTTTCTTCTTTATTTTTTTTTTTTTTTTAGTTTCGTTCTTTGTATTTTTGTTGTTTGGACTTTGTACAGTGATGCGTGCGAATGAAAATAATTTTCTAATAAGTGTCTTTTTCCTATCTCTTCCTATTTTTTAGTTTTCTATTTTTTTTTCTTTATTTTTATTTTAGTTTCGTTCTTTGTATTTTTTGTCGTCTGGAGTTTGTACAGTGATGCGTTCGAATGAAAATAACTTTCTAACAAGTATCTTTTTCCTATCTCTTCCTATCTTTTAGTTTTCTATTTTTTTCTTTATTTTTATTTTTTAGTTCCGTTCTTTGTATTTTTGTTGTTTCTACTTTGTACAGTGATGCGTTCGAATGAAAATAACTTTCTAGTAAGTGTCTTTTCTATCTCTTTCTATTTTTTAGTTTTCTATTTTTTTCATTCTCCTTTTAGTTTCGTTCTTTGTATTTTTGTACAGTGACGCGTTCAAATGAAACAACTTCCCGACTCAAGAATTTACAATTCATAATATCAATCGGAAATTTAATATTTTAAATAGTTTAACAATTTTTCGAGATGATATAATAATTCAAAGTTTGCAATACGTCGTACAGCAACAGAGATGGGCATTCGTTCGTTTAGTTCGAGAAACTGCTTAAAATGCAGTTAAAAATACAAAACTCGCGCCAGGAAAATGAAATGAAAAAGGAAGAAGAAAAGTCTCTAACGAGGAGAGAGTTCGCGTGTGAAAATATCCAATGAATTTGACAGTTTAAAAAAAAAACATTAACATACCTTGTCCGACCTCTACGTAATATCACAGCTGGATTTTATTACAGTTCTTCTTCAAGAAATACCAATATTTACAAGTCGTTTATCAAGTTTATATACATTTCATGCACACGAATAAAACTACAAAATGAAAACGAATGTTTCCTCGGGACTTTTCTGAAACCCGGCGAATTCTCGAAGAGTCTACGATGTCAAACGTGAATGGAACACTAATTTCATTAATATCTCTTGCTCCTACCCTTTTGAAGGATCCGTTTTCAAAGGGAAGAAAGCGAAATAATCAGCATATTATATTACATTTTTAATCCCGAGAGTCCGGAACGTTCTAGCGCGGAATTAGGTTAGCTAAATGGGAAAATTGACTCAAATTAGTTCAGTAGCGGATTAGCGGAAAAGTGGGGAGAGGGGAGGATATTGGAAAATATGACAAATGGACAAGAGATTTAATTAAAGTTGCACGGGCTGGCTGGTAGCCAGGAAATAGCCGGATAAAGGTGAACCTTTCGGAATAAAAGCTGTCGTTACGGTACTATCGAAACTTCCTACGAAAGTTGATTTCATTTCATCCGCTCGCATTCACGATGACAGAACAAACAACATCGTTCCCGTATACGTATGTGCGTACACTGCACGGTGATAAAAGTTTTCCTCCGGGTCATATCCGATGAGTTTCTCTGTGTTTTTCGCAACGAGCCACTTCGTTTGTTTTTTCGCTGCTCGCGGCAAATATTTGTAATTTTTTTAATTATGCAAATGCAACGACGGCCGCGTCGTCGACGAGTACAAGGAAATGCTCTCTCCGATTTCATATTAATTCGCAAACAACGTTAATGTTAAAACTTCGTGTTTGCTCCACAAACAAACATGAAACAAACCTGCATGTGTGACAGCGTTTTCGTTTGTACACAATGGCGAGGCAAACGCGTATATATATATATTATATATATACATATACTTGTACACAAGTATAAAGTAAATGTAGACGCGTGACAACATTTCTAAATAATCTTGAAATTTCAGAACGCCCAAGTTGTAATTGCTGTTTAACTTTCACCGCGTTGGGATTAAAATGAAAAAAAAAAAGAAAAGTTCGATGCATATTCTGTCCCGTTGCAGTAAATCGTACTATTTTTCAATCAGTTTCAAATTTTGTCTGACAACACTTTCAATTCAACCAGAAATCAGTAGAAATGATTTTTACAGTCAAAAGCCTACGTTAGAGTCTCTCTCTCTCTCTCCCTATTTCTCGAATATCTTGATACTCGAGTGTCACGTCTGTCAGTAATTTAAAGATCACCTGTTACTGACAGACGTTCCACCCAGATGATACAACGTTTGCATCATGTTCCCAGATCAATATTATAACTTACATACGAGTATTAATACAACAATTCGTCAATCTTGATATTTGAAAAACAGGGGTTCGCACGATACTCGAAACAAATCTCAACGCGAATTGCATCTCTCCAACGGCACACTCACGAAACTACGAGATTCGAGCCACAATGAAATTCCCGTTTATCCACCAAGACTTACCCCATCTTGGGCCCACCCTGGGTCAAATCGAACACCTGCCGCGGATTCAACAGCCATTGAAACTTCTGGAGAAGCTTGGCTCCCTGATTGCCGCCCGATTTCGGATTAATGAAAACCAGCACCGGCTTCACCGATGGCGTTGGTATCGGCTTCACCACCCACAGCCTTCCCTGATCCTTCTCCTGCTCCTTGTCCTTCTCCTTCTCCTTCGATTTCTTCCTGCTGGTGCCGGCACCGCTCCCAGACTTCTTCTTCCTCGGCGATTTCCTCAAACTGCTCTTGAAGCTGCCCTTCCGCGGCAGCTTCACGATCCAAGATGGCGGCACGATGATGGACGCGTGGATACCCAGCTCGCAATTCTCGCCGATCTTCTGCACGTTGAAGCACGCCTCTTTGTTGTGGTAGGCGAGCTTGCACCAGCTGCAGCTCACCGCGACGATCTCCTTGGAGCTGAAGCTCAGCTTCGACTGGAACGACTTGCCGCAATTGGCGCACTTCCCTTTCTGCGAGCGCCGATGTACCCAGTGATGATGAGTGTTCGTCTGTTCCCGGTACTGGCGGACACCGACGTCCCGGAAACCCGACTTACAGGCGAAATTCAGGCTCACCGCGCACACCGCGTGAGCCACCACTCGGCAGGCTGCGCATTTCATCCGGGGCCCGTGTTTCTGAAAATTCGAGAACACATGTCGGTACGTACGTTAGTGATGTCATCGATGACTGGATTAAACCTCTGGCAACCGATCTGAATAACGAAACAGATTCACGTTTGAAAAATTTCGAGTCTTTAAACTGGAGACTGATAAATACAGATAATTATATTATAAATGTTTTATATTGAGAAATTATTATATTATATTTTATATATATATTAATATATATATTATAAATATTATATTAATATTGCGAATAATATTATATTATATTAACAATATTAATAATAATATTATATTAATACTGAATATAAATATATTATATTGAAATTATATACAACTTCAATATTTTACATCCAACACGATGTAGTGAATTACACATACAGTATTGATTTAGCGAATCACAGTAACCAATGTTTACCTAGGAAGATTGAAAAAAAGTAATGGCAAATAAGGGAAATAGGAACGTTTCATTGAGAATCTTTTCAATCAATTTATACTCATCGAAGAATTACATTATTTATAAATTATATAATTATTAATTAAATAATTATATTATATATCATTAATGTCAGATTTGTGTAACATCGTTCGTTTTCCAATTCGAAAATAGAATTAATCATATCTATAATAATAATAATATCCCTTTAAAGAAATGTTTCATTTGTGAAATTTGAAATTGTCACTGCTCTTAATCGTGAAGCATGAATTTCAAGACAAGTATTAACAATAATTAACAATAATTAATAAATAATTAAGTTAATATAGAAGGATTTCTACCAAACTTACAAATAAATAATTCCCATCAAAAATATGAACCCATTTGCATTATTCACAGGGAATATCGATCTGAACGTCACGACAGAGAAGGGGAAAAGGAAACTGTTGAAATTAGGAAGAAAATAGCATGCAAGAAAAAAAAACAAGAGTTGTAAAATCCTCTTAGTCCGCGGCGGCTGCTCGAAAGAAACCGCAACGCTCGCGAAATCGGTTTAATGGCTTTCGAAAACTGGCGGAACCTCGTTAACGGTGCTTTAATGGCACAATCGATAAAAAAAAATACGGCCAAGAATACCGTGAGCTAATCGTTTCTCTTCGCTTTGCTCTCATTTTTATTCAATATCTTCAGAAATTTCCTTCCTAGGGTAGGAAAGAAACAAGTACGAAATTCACGCTGGAACTACCAAATCGGCTTAAACAACCAATCTGTAGTTTTACAGAGTTACAGCGTTATATTTTTAGAGATTTAAATTCTTTTTAAAATACAAGACTTTTGAATTCTTATATATATATGTGTGTGTACGTATGTATATGATTATTTATTATATATCAAATATGGACTATTACTATTATTATTTTTAAAATATACGAAAGTTTATTGTATTATAAATTATATTATAAATTTTTATAATATTATAAAGTTTATTGTATTATAAATTATATTATAAATTTTTTTAATATTATAAAGTTTATTGTATTATAAATTATATTATAAATTTTTATAATATTATAAAGTTTATTGTATTATAAATTATATTATAAATTTTTTTAATATTATAAAGTTTATTGTATTATAAATTATATTATAAATTTTTATAATATTATAAAGTTTATTGTATTATAAATTATATTATAAATTTTTATAATATTACAAAGTTTATTGTATTATAAATTATATGATAAATTTTTTCCTATTCCTTGCACTCCGATGTCTCTGGTACAATTTTTTATTCTTCTAGTCGTCGATATTTCTAGCGTTAAAAAAGAAGATAGGATAGCTAGGAAAAACATCCATTCCCTGAATATATAACCCACAGCATCCAGGATCGGTCCTGAAAATTTTGTTGCTCTCTGCAGCAGTGTATTTTGCTTCTATCTCCTAAAAAAGGAAAACTTTCACAACGACGGTTTAAAAACACGCGACGTTAAATTAGAATTCAACATGCACGATCATAAATTCCAAAGCACTGGCCAACAAAAGTTCATAAATTAATGAATGCTAATCACAAACTGTCTAACCACGCGGAATAACTTGGAACTGTTATAACTTTGTGCAAAAAAAAAAAAAAAAGAATCGTACAATAATCCGCTTAGTTGCATTTTAAAGCGTAAAGCTTCCACTTTGACAGTCCTGAGTTTATTTCTCTCAAAGATATTTCTATATCGTATAGCGGATGTCAAAATAAGGATGCTTTTATTCTCGAAGATTGAACGAACTGAAACGTTTCTGAAAACGTGGGAACATTCTTTTCCATGGCTGGATTCACCGCGATCTTCAGAACGACATTTTAAAATTTGCTGCACGATCTTCTTTCGCCATTTTATCGAACTATGAACAGGGTTAAATGAATTTTAGATTTACCAAGTCTCTGGAATTTTTCTCGTTTAACCCCTAATGATCAACGTTCAGATAATAATAAAGAAGAATTTCAACTTTTAAGATCATTGAAAAAAGTTTAACAATTTCTGTGAACAGAAGTATCCTCACTTACGATAATTACTCGTGGAAATATGTTCAAAAACGTCCATGAAAAGTTACAATTTGTAACATTTGAATCTCGCATAGTTTTTTGGTCGCTCTTGCGGAAATGCGCATGCACGCTGCACCGTAACAAAAACACGTTCGCTGATTACAAAAACACGAGAACGATGTAATGAATGCAACGAGAACGTCCTAAGAATCGGAAGCTTTTTGTACGAAAATTCTCTCTCTATCAATTGAAGAAACTAACAGAATTCGCACGTCATTACACGACAATTAAAAAAAAAAAGAAAACTGCCGAAGACGAAAAGAAAATGAGACTGAACGAAACGGCAGAAACATGGAAAATATAAAGAGAAACTAAGTGAGGGGTACGAAGGGGAAAAATTTGTAGAACGTGTGTGAAAAAGCAAAAGGTGGATTCGTGAAATTGATGGTACACGTGTAAACCGTCGTCATCCTGTTCGCCACGTTTTCAAACGATTTCAAAGCTCCGTCGGTTGCCATTGTCTACCAACTATGATCAAAGCAATAAAACGATGATCATCGAGGCCAGAAAAAAAAAGAAAAAAGATAGAGAGAGAGGAAGAGAGAAAGAAAACTGATGGATTTCAGCGTTAGGGAATAGACGTGGATAAATTGTGTACGTACTCTGGCTGTACGACGAGCAACGGTCTAAAATTGCGACGATTCTTGAGAGGAATGTGAAACGCGGTCGAGTAGAGGAACGCCGGGTAGAGGGTTGTAGAGGGTCAAGGCTGGTCGACAGACTCTCGAACCTCTTCTCCGTCGTTTCTGTTCCTCTCAAAGAAAAGCTTTTTTTCCCTACCGATATTGCTCAGCCGTCGCGGTTTATACTGACCTACATGAGTCACCCGAAACGTGCCTCGATCCACTCTGTGAATCGAGCAATTTGTCCAGAAACGTAGAGAAAGAGAGAGAGAGAGAGAGAGACGTAGGAGAGGATGAGTCCATGCGTTCCTTTCTGTACGATCGGAGAACACGATATTTTCTTCTTCTTTTTCTTCCTTTTTTATATAGTATTGGTTAATTGCTTCTTCAGAAACGTAATTTTATCAAAAGAAGAGAGAGAGAGAGAGAGATTTTCAGGTTCAGATTACTCGGATGGCACAGACACCTTTCGAAGACTATTCTTCGGTCAAATTGGATTGATCGATCGAGACCATTCACGGTAGGATAAATCTCACCAGATCGCCTCCCTGTGCCGCGACTCATCTCTATCGATTGCACCTACAAAGCGCAGATTTAAGGGAGTATTCTGGTAATTCGGCTTGAAAAAAATTAATTTTTTTTTTTTTACATGCTTTCGAAAATATCTATGTAAAAGAATTTGTTTGAATTCGTAAAATTAGCAAAGTTATAGATGTTTAAAGGAAAACGGTGTACTGCTCGCAACGTAAGTACGAATATTTTTGTACAACAACGGGTAACAAAAACTTCAAGTGTGTTTTTCTCAAAAAATATTTTATAATATTATTATTTATCTTTGTATTATTATTATTTTATAATACTTTATTTTTTGTACTGCTCGATTGATTGTAAGTATGAATATCTTTGTACAACGGATAACAAGAACTTCAAATGTGTTTTTCTCAAATCCATATTTTTTAAACTGGCTGACGGGATATCTCACGTTTTAGTTGACCGATTGACTTGAAATTTGGAGGAGATCTTCGCCGGATGTACCTTCATCGCATGAACCACGGATTTAAAAATCTGATTTTTTTCCTATTTTTTTTTACAACCCAAAAGACTAAAAGTACAAGGAAAATCGATATTTAAACTTCAAAATGCTGCCATTTTTTTTAATTTTCGAAATTTCACTGTTTCTGTGGTTCATGCTATAGCCATATTTATACTAATTAAAATGCATTTTGGTTTTTTAGATTCAAATAAACAGGTGGACCGGAATCACGTCTTCGAATCCGTTTTTAAAAACATGCTTTACCTAAGGCCATATAATTTCCACAAACTTTCATTAATTTCGTTAAAAAGAAAAAATTGCAATTGCTCTTTAAGTATGAATAAATCTGTGCGCGAAATTTGCAAAACCAAAACGTATCATGGTTTCCTTAGAAAAAAATTCCAAAAAAGTCGATTCTTATAAGCCGGATTACCAGAATACCCCGTTAACGTCATCGTGGTTTTCATTTTTACTATAGACGTGGTTTTCATTTTTCCGATAATTTTGCAAAAATCGAGGATCGTACCCTGTCAAGAACGAAATCTGTTCAACGACCGAAATTCCGTTTTCAACTCCAGAATCTATCTTTCATTCATCCGCGAAGAATACATCAACGTTCAACGTTGACGTGCAAGGAACTGCAAAATCGAATTGTTACGAATCGTTTCTTTTTTTTTTTTTTTTTTCCAGCGAAAAAATCGCTCAAACGGATATTAATACGACGGGTCTCGCGCAAGATAAAAGCTCAGCGAGGCAGGTGAAATGGAACGTTACGTTTTAAAATGCTTGCCCCGATCCAATTTTACGGACACGCAAACGTAAATAACA